AAGTGTTCTATGGCATTAAATTTATTGTGTGTGAGAGATTATATCGTAAACAGTCAGCGGAAGGTGTGTAGTCGTCCAGTGTAATGGCTTTCTCAGTTTCCGCTATGTGCGTCAGGCGGGGCATCTGCGCTAAACGCAACGCCCAGTTTCTAACGCCACGACTATGGCCACACCTTGGGGCACTCTTGTGGTTGTTTTCCTCCCATGGCTATTAATACTATTATTACTAGCAGTTATTTTTAGCTAGCTACCATCTATTGTATATGATTAGTAAGGAAGTCAACCTTTCGCGTCTGCTCTTTTGCGGCCGCACCTGCAGGACCTTCTAGTTCGCTCAAGTATTCGAATATCTTAGCACGAATTTCCGCTTGTGGCTTACCATCGGCATACATTTGCTTCACTTTCTGAAATCATTTGCATTCTACTGGAGCTGGCTATGGTCGCTTTATGTGAACATGCATGATTCAAAAGCCTGCCGAACCGTTTTCTGATCCGCCGTCATCCATGAGAGTCGTTTATTGATCTTCTCATCGATATCCCTCTTCGTCCTCGTTTTTTTAGCAAGCATTTCCGCGCATGGCTGTAAAACAGTCTTTTGAGTACCATAAAGTGCAGTCGTTCAAAAGTGAAAGTGGAGGTACGAAGTGGACTCGCGCTGAAGAAAAAACAAACGTATCTTCCCAGAACGCGTCAACTATGGGCCACTTTTCGCACATTAGGTAGTGGGGCGAGGGAGAGAGAGTACGCTGAAAGAAACTGTGCGAGAGAGCACGCCTTACGAGGGGGCGCAGATACGTGACCGATGCACAGTGAGCGATAAGAGCTCCAGTTAGGACAAACAATCGGTAGTATTGCTAAAGCCTAGCATTGTTGTCTCCCATTTTCAAAGGAGAAAGGCAAATCTGTGACCTCCATAAACAGCTCTATCCCTCTCTCGAAGGGGTTGCAACAATGGACTTATCGAGGCGGGTGTCAAGTTTTTTTTTGGGAGCAGACGGCTCCTCAGGGGTTTCACTCTCTTGTGCAGCGCCCACTTCTTAAAATTTGCTGCCCTCCTGTTGTTATGCTTACTAACAGACATTTGATTGGACTCAGTTTGGACATTGGTCTTCTTGAGTTCAGGTTTCTATGAATCGAATTCGCAACGTATTCCGGCCATCCCCCTTGAGCCTCATGATGTACTCTTGAGTACTTTAGGTAGGAGTCTGCCAACCTGAACTTGTGACAGTAGCACCCACATCATTCATGTGAAAATGCCGAGTAGCTGACAGGAGGCCCGTCGCGTGGCAAGAAGTCGGAGTCAGCGGACGAGTCGCAGCGCATACAGTAGTATTTCGCGTCAAGTTAAATAGAAATGTATCGCTGCGCTGCCTACATCGCAAATCACAACATCACAACTCGTCCACTAACTATGCCCTCTTGCCGTGAGACCGGTTTCCTGCCAGGTATCCGAAAGCGCCTGTAGGGCGGATAGTGAGCTAGCGCTCACTTATAGTTCACCACCCCACTCCTGGGACGTGTCACGCCAACGCCCCAGACTCCTAGACTGTGTGATCATGGACTTCAAACCAATATCTACAAAGAGATCACTCAATTTCAGTATACTGACTACCCATTCGAATTTGAATCTCAGTATTCAATGTTAATTCACATGGTGACAGAGACAATCCTTGAACGTGACCGCTTATGCGGCTAGTGTATGAGACTGCGGCTCCATCACGTTAGGCTCGTTTTGTACGGCTTTCTCAGTTTCTACCTTTTTTTTTCTAATACTTTGAACCCCGTCCACTTGCTCTCTAGTAGCTGCATTAGAAATCTCATGAAACCTTCCCTTCAGTGAATTGACGAAAAACTTGCTATACCTGGCACTGTCCTTTGTAGCTTTCTCTGACTGACTGTTGTCGTTCTTCAGGAAGCGTATCGAAATACTCGTATGTCTTCTGACGAAGTTCTTCGAACGATTTACCAGAATCCCTCATGTCGCTCATCTTAATTGACGGCAATTATTGATTGATAGAATTTAGGTTCAGCCAAATGAATTTATTACCACCTACCATCATTTGGAAAGAGTGTTCACCCAAAACCTTCCGTCCTTTCCTGAGCGGACAGAGACACCATGCCTATTTACCGTGCTACAACTAGCAATCTCCGGGGTAAAACTTAGGTGGCGCATGCGAATAGCTGTCCTGTGCCCAATTCTGTGGCCTTTGGGAATAGGGTCTGCGGCGGAAGCGTCACTATGCAGGTGTCGTGGAGCGTATGCGAACAAGCGACCAGCTTTAGAGTATGATTGGCCGTCCAGTTGGGGGCAAGGCATGAAGCACGCCCTTTGGATGTTGATCGCTTGGAGGAGGGCTGCATACCAGTTCTGCTCTTAAGGTCACGCCATCTCAGGTAGGGGCACCTCTTTGCTAGCAGCAAGCTCAACCCTGAACTAACCATAGGCACAAAGGCGGAGTTTACAATTAGAGGCAGTCCACAAGATTACGGCGGAGGCGATAAGTTATGCTGGAATGAAGAAGAAGCATAAGAAACGGCCCAGACCCCAAGGAATGGGGCCCTTTCTTGCCCGCCGAACGGTATTGATGCCACCTCATCGGTGGTAACTTCTACAACGCTTACACACTCTCTGCTCAACGGCTGCAGGCTCAGACGGCGAGAGTGAGCGCCACGGGGAAGCCATGCCACAGATCGCCGGGACCATATCCTTCGCGGCGAATGGCGTGTCGATCCGCACCCCGCACCCTTGGGGTTTAGCCTGTCTTCCTACTAGGTACGTTTCCCCTTCTTCTTTCGACCTTATCGTGATGTCCTCCTTTGAGCATAAGCCAATGTGTAATCATGATCCCAAGGCTAAGTCTAAGCCTAAGCTCAGGTTTCAGTCATCAGGCAACTCTGGTGACCTGACCTAGGAGAAGAACTGGACGTCTCCCTTGAAAGAGTTAATGGATCAATTGCCATACACGCAGAAGCCCAGATGGGTGGTACGTGGCGCGTGCACCTCCTGCTGCATTTCCCTTAGTACAATTTCTCAGAGCGGGTAGGGTTCCGTACCACGTCCCGGGTGGCCGCGAGATTACAGAAGAGCCGTCCACCATTCGGGACTCCGAGCGACTTCCATTTTTTATCGCTTTGATAACACTTCTGCACTTCCCACCCACATTTCTCTCTAATTACCAACAACACTTACCGTTCTTCGCTGATCATCAGTCATCCAATTGGTGAACTTTTCGAAGTGCTTGTGGAAAACATGGCGTGTGGTGGGGACACTTCTCAGAAGTCTGTTGCATTCCTGAAGTAATTTGAGATGAACTACAACCTATTCTCAAATTTACTCACAGACTCACTTCCAGTATCCATCTTTTTCTTGAGCATCTCTAGAGAGACGCACTTTGTAGGTCTCGATCTGAAATGGTTTCATTAACATTTTTCCTGCCCTTTCAGCCTGCACACCCTACTGTAGTAAAACCCACTTTTGTAACAAGGTTCTCATTGTCACCGCTTCGCTCGATTTCTCTGAGCTCATCAACTTCTTCATCCGTGGCGACCTGAAAAAGTCAATTTTATGCGCTATCGCGAGGTACGGGGCATCCTCCAAGCTAAGCCTAGG